ATGGTTCCCATTGGTCATTTAGAGAGACTTTCCTACAGATACAGTAGTGATAAACGATGATAAACGCCACTTGCCGTCACCTCTCAGTTGTGAACAGCAAGGAGGTTGATCAGTGAAGTTTGCCAGGAATCTTCTCAAAAACAATGTGTGATTCCTTTGAAGCACGGTGTGTGTCTAGAACCGAGTATTTCATGTATTTCTAAAAGCCCTGTTGAAGCACGAGCAGTGGGTCCCACTCCCAGAATGTTGAGATACACACCAATGTAGTGTACTGCTGGCAGCCTGTGATAAGACCGCACCAAACTTGATGAGACACGAGTGGTGATAAGATGTGCTAAGGTGATAGAATGGTCGCACAAGTTGCCGGCACTGCAAAAATTCAGGCGGCCGATTTTTGGGTCTCTGCAATTGAGTGCTTTGGCCGTTGGACCTCGGTTTTTTTGTGCGACGGCGCCAAGCAGCTGGTGCTTTTCGAAAGGTTTCTAGTGATTGCCAGATCGCTCATCTTCCGCATGAGACCCCTTCTGCAGCTGCGGAGAGATTTCGGTGGTACGTAGTCTCCGGTGTCAGGCGGTGTCTTTTGGATCGTTCAGATGGCCTTGCCCGTGGAAAGACAAATGGATGCTTCAGTTTGGGGAACTGTAGAACTAGGACACAGGTGCTAAAGAAAATCTGGCCCTTCTACTTTTCTGAAAGATCTATGAAGAGGAGCTCCAATTTTTTTCCATCAAAGAGTCGGATTGGGAATGATTGGGAGGTACTGGAGGTATCCCAAGAGGATTCGATATCGACAAACGACATCGTCCCACGACTCGCCCCTTCGGGGCACCCCCACAGACGAGTGAGAAGCGACTGATTCCATGACTGTGTTTGGAGCTGGATCAGAACAGAGAGTCCGAGTCGCCACTTTCAGCATGATCCCAAGTTTAGAATCCAGACAAAAAAAAGCATTCAGACAGCATGTCTGATGACATTTGATGACTTTGCAAGAGCCGTGTTTTCCTAAAATGTGGGATCCCCAAACACATGGGTTTCAATACTTCAAGTCATGGTCAAAATTTGGATGATTTGGGGTACCCCCATGACTTTGGACACCTCATGACACCTCCACATAGAAAATCCTGTTTGACGGTGGCCGGCCTGGCGAACTCTCGGATGTTTTGCCTTTCCTCAGACCTTGAAGGGTCGAGAGTGGAGCCCTGAGCGAGTAGCTTTTTCAATTGCGAACCAGACCCGAAAAGAGCGCCAGCAGAGTTTGAAGATGGCACTTACCCTCTGGTAAACATACAAAAAACTATGGAAAATCACCATTTTTAATGGGAAAATCCACTATTTCTATGGTGATTTTCAATAGCTATGTTAAATTACCAGAGGGTAACATGTTTTAACTTCTTCATGCCGTGCGAATGTCTTCCAAAATCTTCCAAAAAAGTGTGATAACTTAGGCTGAGATTGAAATGATTGATATGATTGAACAAGCTAACTTGCAAAGTGTTGGGCCTACTCCAGTCCGTCAAACACAACCAGATTTGAACATGACCAATGACAAATGAACCACGGAATGGGAGCTACCGGGAAGTCATCTGACTCCAGCTCCAGATGCTCCAGCATGCTTCAAAGGCGAACTTCGGACTGTGACACCCATCATCGTCACGAATTCCTGGGGCATTGTTGTGGTTGTTCACTTTTTGGAAGACGGTACAAAGAGGTTAGGATGCTCAAACCATCTCAAACCCCTGTCAACCATGAATGTGGAAGGGTCAAAGAGTCAAACCCTAACAAAAACGAAATAAATTTCTGCGATGAAAACGGCTGTTGGCTCAAAATCATTCAGCTGCATATAGCTAGTAGAACATCAATGAAAATTCTAAGAAAGCTAACCAGAGTTAGTAACCAGATGTGACCAACAAATAGCAACGACCTCACCAAAAAAAACAAAAAAGGCCTTAAGAGCTGAAGTGCTGTGCCTGGCGATGAAAAATCATGGTCCGGCTCCTCGGAGTCGTCTTTTAGTTCGCATCCAAAAAAGGATCTGGAAATCGGTCAGATCCAGGGGTTTCCTAAATTGGAGGTACCCCAAATGGATGGTTTATAAGGGAAAATCAATTTACAAATGGATGATTAAGGGGTTTTTATGCATTTCAGGAAACCTCTAGTTTTTTTTGCGGTCTCTTTTTGTGTATGCCTCAGACTCCAAAAAATTCTGTGAACATGTTCAGAGAGTTGATTCGTTGATGTGATTGGGCCAATCTTGCAGTCGCCATGTGGAACTCTGCAGGCACGCACCTACTATCCAGACTCCTCCTCATCAGAACCTGATCTGTCTGACCAAGGAGAGGGTCGGCAGCATCACGAAAAATGTTCAGACCAAGGGCCGGCAGGATATAAGATTATAAACAAGAGATATATGTAGCATATATATATATATATTAGACATTATCTCATATTGTTATATAAAATTACCAATTATATATATACACATATTAAAACAACTATATATATAATATACATATATTAAAACAACTATATGTATATATACATATTGACATTATGTTATTATTGTGATTAATGTTGTAGATATATATATATACTTAGTTATTATTGCTATAATTGTCATATATATATATAAACATATGTATTTATTAGAAAATATTAATCATAATATATATATATATACACACACATTCTACTTATTACATACACATACATAAATACATCAACATTATTAGTATTATCAGTCGTATTTTTATTATTCCTATGATATATACTGTATATACATATAGATAGATAGATAGATAGATTAGATTAGATTAGATTAGATTAGATTAGATTAGATAGATTAGATTAGATAGATAGATAGATAGATAGAAAGATAGATAGATTAGATTAGATTAGATTAGATTAGATTAGATTAGATTAGATTAGATAGATTAGATAGATAGATAGATAAATAGATAGATAGGTAGGTAGATAGATAGATAGATGGATGGATAGATAGATAGATAGATAGATAGGTAGGTAGGTAGATAGATAGATGGATAGATAGATAGATAGATAGGTAGGTAGGTAGATAGATAGATAGATAGATGGATAGATAGATAGATAGGTAGGTAGGTAGATAGATAGATAGATGGATATAGGAGCAGTGTTCAAACCGTGTGTCGTCCCTTACTGGTCAGTAGGATTTCCCATAGTGGACTCTAACCTTAAATCTGCAGGCACCAACGGTGCTGAGACGTTGTTTGTTGGCACGCATGATCCAGAAGCTTTAGCTTTAGCTTGGAGGGGGCCATTATTGCTCTAGAATCCTATGGTTTTGCACGTTTTTCAAAGGGACCTAAAATCGGCGAAGTTGCCAAACTTGGGCTCAACATGGGACCAACATGGGCCCAACATGGGCCCATCAATGTGCCCAACACGGCCCAACATAGAGCCAACATGGGCCCAACATACTCCCAACATGCGCCCAACATAGAACATATGGATTTATTTCTTGGAACTCCGTAGCTAACACTCTGGTGCGCGCGGTTGTCGTCGCGAAGCGACCAGAATATATTGGACACTGATGGACACTGTTCCTCAACCCAGGTCCTTTGATTATAGCGATTATAATTCATTGACTGGTTGGTGGTTTGGAACATTTTTTATTTTCCATAATATATGGGACAATCCTTCCCATTGACTCATATTTTTCAAGATGGTTAAAACATGTTAAAACCACCAGCCAGATTGATATTGGGGGTACCTAATTTTCCAACAAACCCATATCATTATATACACATGCAGCCAGCACTGCATCATTCCTGGCCAAATCGCAGGATCGCCCGGATCATCCCTGAGCGATTTCAGCTTTAGCCACGAGGCCCCAGCCTGGGGCTTAAAACCTATGGTTTCCCTATCCAAGGTCTCCATAGATAAATTACATCAACTCCCAAAATAAATCAAAATGATCGAAAAGTCGTCTACTGTATCACTATTTTCATATTTGATTTGTCCATCTTGGGGCCTATTTTCGTGTGGGCACATTAACGCATGCATCGCTTTGGGCAACCAGGTGAAGGACGAGTCTCCAGAGGCGGCACAGCTGGCTGTTTTGCTTGGGGTCCTATACCCCATTGAAGGACCCAATATCTAGAGCTAAATGGGGGTACCCCAAAATGTATGGTTTATGAGGGAAAATCCATGAAAATCCTATTAAATATGGATGATTTATGATGATTTAGGGGTACCCCCATTTATGGAAACCCCCAAATGATATCAAATGATGCTAAATGAATGTAAACAACATACTCACGTGGCGCCGGGAAAAAAATCGCGTGACATCAGTGATGCAATCCAGGCTGGTTTTCCATTGGCCGCAAACAGTGGAACACAAGCGCCAGTGACGGCCAGTGAAGATATCTGAATTTAACAAGGATTTAACTCGTTACAACTGTTACCATCTCAGCAACCTCCCTAGGTTTCAGCGTTTCTCATGTCGCTCTCATAGTTCATGTTCATTTCGAAGTCTGCATATTTCTGAGCCTTTTCGAGAATCCCAGCTGCCTCTTGTCCCATCAGCTTTCTTCATTAAAACTTGATTCAATGGATTGGTTTGTGGGAAAATCATTTGCAGCAAAGCATGTTTTCCCTATGAACTCTGTTTTTGAATGTTTTGTTCAGTGTGTCCTTGGTATCACGACTTTAAACATCTTTAAACCATTGATCCCAGGGTTGCTCCAGTCTATAGGTAAATAAATCTACTATCCACAGTCGGGGAAAACACGGCTGATTTCATGTGAGTTCGCCGAGCAGATCACTTCTTTCCACTCGACCAGTGTTCAAAACCCCTGCTGGTTGGTGATGAGTTGGGGTATCACCCAAAATATGGGGGCAATTCTCACAATCGATGGGAACTCCAATTCGAAATCTTCGAAGCAATTGTTGTTGCCCATCAATTTTTCGACATGAACATCATTGTAACATCATTGCAACTGGAGTTTTGACATCTTTTGAACACCATGAAGACCACGGTGGCCAGGTTTCCCCCCGTTCCCCGGCTACGCTGGCCGTTTCAGGAGGCCTCCGAGACCTTCGACGCGGGCCGAAACGTTTCGGCCTCCGAGACGGGTGTGGATGCCTCAGCGGAGGCGGAGGAGTTGGCCCTGGAGGCCATGGTGGAAGTGATGGAAGTGATCAATGGAGCGGAAGCAAAACCGGATCCACTGGAGGCTGGGATGAGTTCTGAGTGGTTTAAAAAAAATGTGTTGATCAATGAAGATAGGAAGATGGCTATGCAATGAATGTTGTGATGTAATATGATTTGTTTTTTTTTTTTTTAATGGGATATCATGATTTGAACAATTATGGTTTTATCATCCGTATTGGTGACTGGAGTTTTGATTGTGGATGACAATGATAGTTGAATGAATTGATATGGATGAGAAAATGGAAGATATGGGATATTATTATGATGAAATTTTGGATACGGATGATAATGATGACAAAAAGATTCGAGGTGGATGGGCTGATTCATTTTTACAGCTTTTCAGAGATGATTCGATTGGGCATGACGGCTATGACAGGGTTGATCCAGGATAGTTTCTATGACGTTTGAACAGCCGAAAGGAAGAAAGGCAGAGTCCACTTCCCCGAGCCAGATGGGCTCCGAAAAAAGGTCCTGGTGTCAAGTCCCATCGTGATAAATCAATCGTTTTGTGTTCAGATTTATTTGCTTTGAGCTTAGTACATCAGCCCGCAAGGCACGAAAAACTGAAGGGAAAATAAGAGATGATGATCGGGGCTGCGGATTGTTGAATCTGAGCTGGAGTTGTACTTTAGGTTTCAAAATCATGGAACTTGCTGATCTTGTCAACTGTGTCATGTACTTGGTGCGAAGTGGCTGCGGCACTCGCAAAGGCTAGTTCGGACGTCTAGTGCGAAGGTGTGTGAACGCACAGGATAAGTTTCTGAAAATGATAGAAGCCCCAAAGAACTCTTAGACCTCTTAGCGGTTACCCTTTGGTAAACTAATATAGCGGAAAATCACCATGTATTGCCATGGCTTTCGCAAACATCATGGATCTTGATGAGGACCATGGAGGTGCCTAAAAGGCAGCAGTCATGTCAGCAGTACAAACGCAAACGCAAAGAGCTTAACGCAATGTTCATGCATATTAATGTAATTATATGTATATGTTACAGTATATCCATACAATACACATATATAATTTATATATATATATATATATATCAAATATAATATTCTACCTATTAAATTTCACGAGCTCCTGGGATTTTGTGATTTTTAGGAAATATTGGATATCAAGGTCAAGATGCAATATTTGGTGCAGTGTACGCGCACAAGGGTCGCACGAAAAAACTTAAGCGTCATGGTTTGCACGGGTTTGCACTGGATCAGCCTTCCATAAATTGGAACTGGTCCAATTAATCGTTCAGAAAAAATAAAACGGTCGGAAACGGTCGGAAACAGTCGGAAATATGATCAGGCCAAAACTTGTCCAACCCGCATTTTTTTTAAATAAGCATTTTGTTTGCCTCTGTGAATTGGCACCTTTTTCCGGCCAAACATCGACAGATCAGGCCCTCCTGGCTGTCGACATGGGGTCCTCCGCTTCCAGATCCGCCTCCCCCTCGATGACGTCGCCAGCGTCGCCAGTGTCACCAGGGTCGCCAGGGTCGCCACTGGCAGATGAAGCGGCCGAGGATGGCGAGGATATGGAGGATGTGGAGGAAGTGGAGGAAGTGGAGGATGTGGAGGAAGTGGAGGATGTGGAGGAAGTGGAGGATGTGGAGGATGTGGAGGAAGTGGAGGAAGTGGATGGTCATCCATCAGATCTAGAAAGAAAAGAGGCAGATTCAGATCCAGCTGATGAAGTGATCCAAGAGCATCTCCCAGATCTCCCAGATGCAGAGCATGGGGACTTGGCTCAGGAACTCACAGTGAGACTCGGTGAGTCATTGGGTGAAACGTTGCACGCGTCGGGAACCTCAGAGCCACAGGATGGTCGGTGAATGATGATGGAGTGCCATGTGGGGTATGGGTCCCAATATGTCCTCGTTGGATCTGGTTGGTGGTTTCAAACATTTTGTATGTTCCATGATATATGGGATAATCCTTCCCATTGACTTTCATATTTTTCAAGATGGTTAAAACAACCAACCAGTGTCCAAATATGTCCAGATTGTGTATCCGAGTGCCAACAGTGTATCCAGAGAGGCTCCATAACTTGACTCTTGGCGAAAGTTCACCGAGGTCTGTTGGCGAAGCCGCACCTCAGAACATGTCCCCCGCCGAGGTGCTGCCGACAGATGTAATTGATTGTAATTGCATGTTAACATCATTTAACATCTGCACATGGAAGCCATCTCCGGGTTGCACGTGTTGCAGTTGATGTCTTTTCCGGCTAAGCCGCTAAGAAAATGAAGCATGCTCAGATCCACCAGGTCACTGGCACAGAAGAAAGGTCGGCCGAAGCTGCGGCACAGACGACAATGACCGACCACGAAGAAGTTGTTCCAGATCAGAGGCTAGCTGCAAGTGAAGATGTCCGTGAAGAGGCTGCCTTGAAAAGCTCCTGGCCTGGTCCCTTGAAAGACCAGAAGGCGGCAGTACAGGACGCCCCAGACGGGTTCAAGCAGTTGATTTATGTTGATCTAGAAAGACCATGTACGATTACATGAGATTAAATCATATCACTTACCCTCTGGATCCCTCTGGTAAACTAACATAACTATGGAAAATCACCATTTTTAAGTTCGGTAAACCATCTATTTCTATAGGCCATCTATACCATGGCGAACTGTTAGTCACAACCAGAGGGCAACATGCATTATTGATCTAGAAAGACCACGTACGATTACATGAGATGAAATCATATCGCTTAACATATCTTAACATGATTATTGTCCAAAATTTCATAGAAACCAGTTGATATGCATCAATGTAGTTGGATTTTCCCGTCCCCAGGTGATTTCCCGCGACCAGGACCTGGATCACCTGGATCAACGCCCAGGCCGCGCCGTGACCGCCGTGAGCGCCGTGACTGAGGAAGTATTGCGAGTGCGCACGCAATCGCTGAGCGCTTGGGAAAACTGGAGCCTGGACTTATAACAATGGTTTATAATTGTTAATCATTGTTAATCATTGGTTGTCATGGTTAATCATTGGTTGTCATGGTTAATCAATGGTTAATCAATGGTTAATCAATGGTTAATCAATGGTTAATCAATGGTTGTCATGGTTAATCAATGGTTAATCAATGGTTAATCAATGGTTAATCAATGGTTAATCAATGGTTGATCAATGATCATTGACCAAATGTTTTCTCATGCTTTTTGAATAAACCCTGACATTTTCGCCGACATCCAGCTGTGACTTTTTGCATCTCGCAGGAATGTTCGGCCGATTTCGGGAAAGAAAGGATCAATCATGAATCATGTGGTGTATCAATGTGTATCATATACGTACCCATTGTGTGACATTGGTTTACATTACACTACCCCATTGGTTGCAAACCTATACATCATTGTACATCTATCCGTCCTACCCGCCTGACCGATTGGGTTGCGGTATGTTGTGAGAAAGCCGAGGAACGGATTGGTCGCCCCCGATCTCCGCTTCGAACCCGAAATCCTCAGAGGTTGCGAGCTCAGCAGTAATCCCCACATCCTTTTACTAAACGTACCCCAAATACTAAAAACTCGGGTCCGCGTTAAATTTTGGGAAATTTCAGACCGGCCATTTTGATTTTTAATTGATCCCCTTTCGAAATAACAAAAACGAAGGTCCCATTTCAGGGTTTCACCCCCTAGTAATGAAAACTAGTCAACCCCGGGGTGTTTTTTTATTAGGGTCGGTCTTTTAAGATCGAAAAAAAAATGTATGCTATATTAAGCTTTAATTTAATATTAGGGGAAAGCTTCGAAATCCAATTTTTGGCCATATTTTATTTAGATTTTAAAAGGAAATCGGGAAATCTAATCGACTTTGGAATAGAAAATTTAAGTTGTTTGTATTAAGGCTTTGAATTTGATATTAGGTGAAAGTTTCGAAATCAATTTTTTGGCAATATTTTAATTACGGTTTAAAAGGAAATCTAAGAAAATTTCAGTTTTTTATGTTAGGGTGTTTAATTTAAGATTAGGGGGCAGTTTCGCACCCTAATACTAAATGCCCTCTAGTACTAAAAATTCATCCAGGTGTTGATATTATTTGGGCGGGGAAGGGATTAGTTCAGTCAAAATGGCCATGCGGAACTGATATGGTTAACATGGAAATCTATCGTTAAAACTGAGGAAAACTGATGATTAACATCGATTCTTGGGGACCATATGTTTCACCATCGATTCTTGAGAAGTTGCTTCACCTGTCCATTGAAATTCATCCATCGAAGCTTGGCGTTTGCCCAGCATAGGGCCCAGAAAAGGTCGTGTTGAAGGGACTTTGGTGTGAAATGCTGTGAAGACATTCATCTTACATTCATCTTACATTCATCTTACATTCATCTTACACTCAGACTGGAAGAAAAATTACTGTTTCATGACTCGAAACATGTGTTGTTCACTGTTTTGGTTGTCAAATGTTGTCAAGGTCTCAGAACCATCCGCAGTGAGCCAACTTTCCTGGTAAATCATCGAGTACAACAGCAGCAAATTGAACGGGGACAAGCCTGGCTGATGGAGGTGCAGCTGGGAGTTGGGAGCTGGTCAGCGGCCAGAGCAAGTAAATACGAGGCTTTCCATAAATGGTGGTGCCCCTAAATCATCCATTTAGATTGGGATTTTCCCATATCCCTCATAAACCATCCATTCTTGGGGTACCTCCATTTGCAGGTCTTGGGACTACGCCATTTACATTCATTTACCACTTGATGTAGGACTGTATACCTTGAAAGATCAACATAAACCTTGAAGTATGGCTAAGATCAATGGTAATTTCAGGATCCAACAGATGGAGCTACGTAAACGTACCATATTTTGGGCCATATTTTGTGGGGATATTCCCTGAAATTTAGGCCTTATGGATTTTCGAGCTAAATTTGGAGCCTTCTTCCTGCCTGAAGTATGGAGCGCGCCCCTGGAGGCACGGCGAAAGCGCGCGCCGGTTCCTGCTCCAGCGGCTTCTCCGAAACCTCAACGAGCGCCGCTTGTTGTGCCGGGAGCTGTTCACGAGAAGGCTGGGCAAGTAAAAACATTCAAAAACACGGCAGATCATGGCAGATCTATTGACATCTCATGATGTTATTCAATGTTAATGGTATTTTTCAGATTGCATAGTGTAGACAGGTGAAGCAACATGCCATACTTTCAGATGTTTCATGGTTTTCTCCATGTTTTTCTCCATGTTTGTCCATGTTGTCCAGGTCCAAGAGAACGATAAAGAGGAGGCCTTTGGCAGCTGGTGCCTGCGCTGCAGCTGGTCCGGAGTCTCGGGTGCGGGCTCCGTTAGCAGCACGGGGCGGGGCCGGCGCAGCAGCGATTCGGAGCTTCCAAGCAGCATTTTCTCCAGAAAGTTCAGTTCCGAGGGAGCGCCCATTGGACCCTCCATCGTGTCTGGAGCAAATGATGGGGCAATACATCTTCGAAAAGCTAAGAGGCGTGTGAGTTTCAATAGTGGCGACTTTGAGAAGGAGAAGCTGGAGAGAGTTCCATCGGAACCGGTGGAACCGATGGAACCTGGAAATTCCGAGACAGAAGGCGTAGGCTCGAAGCCTGTGCCGGGAGGATAATAGAAGATTTCACCTGCCAGAGAATTACAGGGTTACAGGGGGGTTCCTGATTCCTAAAGACTTTCCTAAAATGAGGGTACCCCCAGTTTTCATCCATTTATTTTCAGACTTTCCATGAAATAAACCATGCAGCTATTGGGATACCCCCATGACTTTGGAAACCCCCTTTTTTGTGGTCGGATAGGCCATGATAGCCCCATTAAAATCAACCAGCCGAGTGTGGGTTAGTATTAGCCGATGGAGCTGTCCTGTGCCACAAATCGATGTCAGCGCTCCAGGACAAGTTCAAAGCCGTGTTGTTTTTGCTTTGTTGAGGTATGTTCTGCCACAGCTAATACTTGTATCATCTTGTATCATCTTGTATCATCTTGTATCATCTCGTATCATCTTGTATCATCTTGTATCATCTCGTATCATCTTGTATCATCTTGTATCATCTTGTATCATCTTGTATCATCTTGTATCATCTTGTATCATCTTGTATCATCTTGTATCATCTTGTATCATCTTGTATCATCTTGTATCATCTTGTATCATCTCGTATCATCTCGTATCATCTCGTATCATCTCGTATCATCTTGTATCATCTTGTATCATCTTGTATCATCTTGTATCATCTTGTATCATCTTGTATCATCTCATCATCTTGTATCATCTTGTATCATCTTGTATCATCATTGTATCATCTTGTATCATCTTGTATCATCTTGTATCATCTTGTATCATCTTGTATCATCTTGTATCATCTTGTATCATCTTGTATCATCTTGTATCATCTCGTATCATCTTGTATCATCCTGTATCATCCTGTATCATCGTGTATCATCGTGTATCATCGTGTATCATCGTGTATCATCGTGTATCATCGTGTATCATATTGTATCATCTTGTATCATCTTGTATCATCTTGTATCATCTGGTATCATCTCGTATCATCTTGCATCATCTTGTATCATATTGTATCATCTTGTATCATCTTGTATCATCTTGTATCATCTTGTATCATCTTGTATCATCTTGTATCATCTTGTATCATCTTGTATCATCTTGTATCATCTTGTATCATCTTGTATCATCTTGTATCATCTTGTATCATCTTGTATCATCTTGTATCATTTTGTATCATCTTGTATCATCTTGTATCATCTTGTATCATCTTGTATCATCCTGTATCATCTTGTATCATCTTGTATCATCTTGTATCATCTTGTATCATCTTGTATCATCTTGTATCATCGTCATGGCATGTCACCATGAGGAGCACATGCATGATCATGTCTGCTGGCAGTCCAAGATGCTGAAACAAAGAAAGCAGCCGAAAGTGCTGCTGCGCGGGCCCAGGCAGCCCAGGCAGCCCAGGCGGAGGTGCTGCAACCAGACTGCCATGTTTGGACCGCTAAGAATTGCCTCAGTTGCAGAGAAGGCCACCCAGATAGGGCCCAGCTGGAAACCAGAGGCTGCGCAGCCTGGCCCCTCGCAACTTGGCAGGCTGAAGTTCCAGGAAAGACCAGAGAAGAAGAGTTGCTTTGCTGCACTTGGCTGCACGTTCAAAGCGCTTTGCCCCGCTTTGCTGCGCTTTGAGCTTGGAGATTCTTAGGAATCGAAGTTGGAAGTTCAGAATTGTGGGAAGGGACCAGTCATTGCAATTGAGAATTCAGTTTGAATGCATGAGAGTCTATCCCTCACAGAGAATTCACCATTGTGGAAAAGATGAAAAAGCTTTGCGACTTCAGAAGTCATTCAGAAAATAAAGGTATCAGAGCTCAACTGGACAGCTCACAGACCCAAGGATTGACGACTTTATCAATGAGGCAGTCTGAAGATGGTGGGTAAAATGGGATGAAGTGGCTAGTTCTGACGGTTCCTGCATATGCCAAAAGAATCCAAAAGATTATGGAACTGGATGGAGTTGGTTTTGATGTGTAACAATATGCAGCAAGATATGCAACATTATGATACATTCTGTAACAAGTACCATCTGGTTATTTAACATAGCCATGCAAAATCCCAACCATAAATGGAGGTTTCTAGCTGGGAAAATCATCTATAAATGGGCCATCTATACCATAGCTATGTTAGTCATAACCAGAGGGCAAAATTGCAATTTTTTGGATCTTGTTGGATCATTTTGGAGTATAGATATGTATTAATAATAATACTATACTATATAATATGTACTATGATATATATAATAGTAATATTGCCATGTTGGATCATTTTGGATCATTTTGGATCATTTTGGATCATTTTGGATCATTTTGGATCATTTTGGATCATTTTGGATCATTTTGGATCATTTTGGATCATTATGATATATGATATATGTATTATATGGTATGAAATTGTGTGAAAATACTATCATATGAAATTATAATATTTATGATATATATGATATATTAATATTACTATATTTGTTCGCTTATGGTATGAAATTCTGTGGCCTATGCCGAGGTCTCTGTTTGGCCTGTTTGGATGGAAATTTCTGGACAGCCGGAAGTGTGCTTCACATGGCTACCCTGCTGCTTCAAGCTACGATAGGCTAGGTGCCCAATATATAATATTATATATAACTAATATAATATATGATATATGATATATGATATATATATATATTAATAGTACTATTTATTATTAATGATTATTGTTAGCATTGCTATTATTTTTACTATTATCATCATTATAATATATATACACACCAATTCCATTCCATAGCTATGGATTCAAATGCCCTCGGCCGCTGAAAATTGTCGCTTGGGATCCAGGTGACCGAAAAAGCTGCACTGGCACAAAGACAAGCAGCTGACCAGGTCCGGACTCTTTGAGCGAAAAGTCCCAGAGTTCCAAGATGTTGAAAGAAAAGAGGATTCTAAGAGGAGGAAATGACATGTTTTGTTCTACGGTTTTTCTACGGTTTTTCCAACAATCAAACAGATCACCAAACATGTGAATCATGTGATATGGGGACAAACAATGATGATCAATGATGAACATCCATGAATCTCATTGAATCTCAGCCATTTTGAGGATATTTTGAGGTTACCCAGGAAAATTCCCACATTTTTGACCCATAGCCGCCATAGCCATGATGCTTTTGAGACGGCGAAATTTGGCCAAGGCCACTATGGCCTTGGCCGAGAGCATGATGAACATGGCGGATGACATGGAAAGAGTGCTGCTTGGCGGAGGAATCAGCTTAAATATTCTAAGTACACATGTATATAAACATACATAATTATATACATATGTATACATATGTATATATATACATATACACCTGTATAGATACATATGTATATATATATTGATATCATGTGTGTATAGATATCGAATATACTTCACATACAGTTCTGTTTATATATATATACACAATAAACTCTGTATATGTATATATACATGTATATATATATATGAATATATATATATATTCATATATATATACATGTATATATACATATGTATCTATATTCATATGATACTGGTATCATATGTGTGTATAGATATCGAATATATATATATATATCACATATAATTTCATAAATCTAATATAAATATAATATAAATAAGCAATATATATATATATACATATGTATATATATACACATATGTGTATATATATATATATACACACCGTATATACCTGCAGAGAATCTTATAGAATGAGTACTCTGAGCGTGTGTTGTTTCTTGGTGTTGGATCCATGTTTATCGAATGATCAATCAATAGACCTTGGATTTCCACTCAGGAAGCAGCTCGCCACCCGCGACGTTGACGAGTGCAACGAGTGTGACACTGACGAGGAGCTCGACTCCCGGGAAGCGGAAGCCAATCTTCCAGCTGTCGCCACTGCCATCGCCGAGTCGCCAGGGTCGCCAGGGTCGCCAGGGTTGCCAGGGTCGCCAGGGGACAGGGGGTCCGGTGTCATGAAGGAAGCCAAGGAAGGCCTTGTGCGGACTGGGCTGATGGCACTGGAAGCACAGAGTGACGATGAGTTGTTGGGCCTCGCTCCCCGGTCTCAACCAACTCGTCGCCAAAACAAAACATGGCAACTTGAGGAGGCCAGGAAGGGAACTTTGATTCTGACTGTTTCATGATTTGGCATCTGAAGAGGCCACTGGGGCGGCAGATACGATTGCAAAACCATCCATACTTGGTTTTGAGTTTTGATTGGTTTCGCAACTGAAGCTGAACTAACAATTGAATCCAATACGACTCGAGGAGGCAATGGTTTGTTGCTCTTTTTGGATCCGCTTGACTATTCACTGCATTTTGAGAAGCCTCACTTTTTGCGGGGCCAGGAATCAGTGTGTCAGTCATGTTCCGTAGGAAAAGATAGAAGAAGATAGAAGAGCAGCCGAAGAGGCCTCGATCAGTCTGACTACCACTTAGGTCTAACTACAACTGACTGTGCACACATGAATTTGATAGATTCTCATAGATTCTCAAGAGTTGCATAGATCCCAGAAATGCAGGGTTGCTACACAGGCACTGCAAGCCCATTTGGAAGAGCGCAGACAAATGGCAGAGGATGAGGTCATGGAATGCCATGGATTGCTTGACCCCTGTCTTTTGCTTCAAGCCTCCTGTGGCGGTGAAACAATGTGTCAGACAGGGGAAATCAATCGTTTTTTGATGTTTGATTCGTTTTGCATATTTGTTTAGTCGCAGATCTTGATGTCAATCGACAGCTTTTGAACTGCAAAGGCGGCTTTAGCAGAAGCAAGAAGAGCAGCAGATCAGGTCAGAATTCAGGAGTCCAGAACATCGACAAAAACCTGGTCGCTATTCAAACAGAGATGCAAGAAGCGGGTTTTGTGCTTCAATCACACCACAATTTTATACAATTTTGACGTATTTGGATGTATTTTGAACATAATCACAACGGCATAAAATGGCATGTAGATTTTTCCTGGCACTTCAGAGGGTTGCGTAGCATCCAGAGGCAATGAAGGTGTACGTGAAGGAAGAGCGCAGAAGAATCGCGGAGGCTGAGGTGGGTTTCGATATGTTTCGATGCTCCGAAAGGATCAAAATGTCCACGGAATATGACATCGAATAGCCATCCCATAGGATCCATGTATGCTATATATAGTAACATTTGCCATCAATATACCCCCAATGTTAGTATATATACCATACATGGATCCTATGGGCATGGAATTTCCATGGAATTTCCATCGAATCGCCTCGCCTCTCAGAGTCCAGTCGTCGCCAAGTCGCAAGGCATGGCCATGCATGGCCTAGGGCTAATCCACTCGGTTTTTTCAAGCGCCAAGACAAGCGCCAAGAGAAATCCACTTCGTGTTTCTTTATGAAAAGCCTTCAACGGTAAGTGAAAATACTGCAACGGACTGAATGTAAGGCGGTAAGATTGACTTGTGATTTGGAAAGGCAGCACTCTCAGAAGCAAGAAGGGCAGCATTACAGGCCCTACCAGACTTCAACACAGGGCTGGATCACATTTAGACTTGATACAGGGATCAGGTGTTGGTGACAACTGGTGGGCATGACGCGTTTTTCTCAATGTCAACGTGCTGTTTTCATGTTGAGACCTCTGATTTGGCTCGCCTTACAAAGCCATTGCATGAGGCGCAATTAGAAGAGCGGCGAATAGAGGAGGCAAGTTGACTTTCACATCATCAGATGGCTATCCTATAATAGAGATGGAGGTGGGCTGTCACCCCACCGCCCACATGTTACAACTGATACGAGAGTAAAAATCCTATTGTGATTGAAGCATCTTCCACAATGCCTGTGGCCATTGATTGCATTTGGAATACATGGCACGGTGTCACCACATGTGGCAGAAAATTGTTTGTGCAACACACCGCTTAGTACTGTATCAGGCTAGAGTGGAAAGAGAGAGCAGCGAAGAGGCATTTTGGAATCCTTTGCAGGCTGGAAACCAAAGGGTGATTTCGTTGCATAGAGCAGAAAGAATGGTTGATGAGGTATGAACGCTTTGTTTCATCGACAATGATCGACAATGTCTTCACTCTGCAAAGCTTCACGTTGTTCATATTTGGCAATTGCAAATCTGCAATATGTCGCAGCATGTGCCGACGTTTTTATTGATGCATAGGAGATGAAAACTAGGTCAGTCTTGGCATACCATCGGTCCGTCGGGATGTAGAGCAGTTTTACAGATCGCTGTATCGCTGAAGTTTCCTGCATCCGATCGTATGACATTTGTTAACCGTTAGTATGTCTAGACCGCGTGAGATTAAAAAAAACGAGGAGTCAGCATGCCAGAGAAAGATCATGAAAGATCAGGATTTGACGTGTCCTTTCGGGCAGAGCGCTAGGCAAGAATTTGTAGCCAGCATAGCTTTCAAGAGGTCTAAAATCCAATTCTCTGGTAGAATTCGGTAGAATCATTTATGTGTGCATATGCATAGCTGGGTTTGTGCCATTTGTATCCATTTGTCGTCACACTTTTTACTGTCAACGGAAAACTGCAATGCAAACGCGTTTTTTGTTGCCATTATTGCTTGGGACCTTGGTTTCGCGCACTGTGGAGGCACAACTGGAAGAAGAACGGAAAAGATTCGCACAGGAGGCCCCATTGCTGTCTGAGTTTTTGCAGGAGGAAGTGAGGAGATGTCCAGGCATCTGACAAAGTCGTACCTGTTTTAGGAAAAAAATGTTGTGCCTTGGGGAAGTGTGTTTCACAAAAGTCGTGCCTTTAGCAAGAACGCATAGGAACTCTGGAGTTTGGATATGTAACCCGTTTTCTTATGAGATCACGTAGCTGATCACTTTAGCATGCAGAATTCCAGGTTGTGGGTATGTTGATTAGTTATAGGTAAGATGCGGTGAGCTGGTGATTTGATGATGTTGGATGTTTGTCCCAGATTATCCTGTTTTTCCCGAATGCGTAGCGAAGGGTTCCCGTTTATAGTTTGTAGTTAGTGCGTGAAACAATGGCTGCAAAGTGCCTGGAAGAGATTGGAAGAGTATTTTTCAGAAAATTATAAATATGTAAAAGGCGCAAGTACCATAGTATGAAGGAGAAAGACTACATCGATTTGCTTTGATCGACACTGAAGTGCTTAAAAGAAGTCGAGCTTGAGCCTGTGCGATGGTGAGTGCTGCATGCTGGAAGGCTGCACGAGAACAAGCAAGAAGAGCTACAGAAGAGGTGCTGCTGCCCGGATCGAATCTCCAACTTTGGGGAATTTACGTGAATTTACGTGTTTGTGCTGATAGCCACATGGCATCCTGTGGGCATATGCTAGCAATGAAAAACACAATTAAAATGGCTCCGGCATCCGGTGCAAAGTCTTATTTCTGTTCGAACTGCAAGACTGTGCAAATGCAAGTCACAATATTTCACCAGCGTTCCGCAGAACATGTTTTTTGTAGGTTTTGTTTTTACAGATTGCGGTGTCCTTTTCTTGCATCAGTTTCTGTGATTTTGCAGTGGAAAGCTGCAGTTTCGGCATGCATTCTGGAGGCACGACTGGAAGAAGAAAGGAGAAGACTGGCAGAGGAGGTTGGGCAGGGATCAGGGTGTGGGCTAGTAACTGACTGCCAGTGACCACTGCAGATTGGCCCCAAGTAAAGGATTGTTTGAATTGTGGTGCCAAGGGGTTAACCGAATTCGGTTGTTTTCAGTTTTGAGCCCATGGATTTTGATTGTTTTTGGGAGGTTGACGATTTTGACCCATATGCTAAGAGTATAAGAATGTTGGCAACATTTGGCAACGGAAAAATCAACATCTTATGCTATTTATAGTGTATGAAAGGGGGTCCGCCCCACAGTTTCTGAAAGCGACCCTGCTAAACTGCCATTGGGCCATCAACATGTTTTGGAAAGTCCGCACCTGATTTGGTCTTGACTGGAAAGACCAGATGCCGTCGGACCAGCTTGAGATGCCCTGGATTCTGAATACTGCATTTTCTGAGGCGGCACAAGAAGAAGCACGAAGGATTGCGGAAGAGGTGCTCCAACAGGGGTTTGGAACCAGAATCTAAAAGATTGTGGGCATCTCATGCGAGACCTGAAACCTTCAATCAACAAAGGCAACCCATCAAGCCCATAAAGCCATAGTCTCATAGTACTATAGATATCTATAGATACTATTGTAGAAACTCATCCTAGCATAATGATGCGTAATGTAGCATTAGAGGTCCAAGCAACATGGTCCTTGAGCCCCCTATATAGTTTCTTTGGATGCCCTACCATGTCGCTCTATCCGTCGCTTGCGTTAGTTGCTGTGTTTTTGTACTTGAATCGCTTTCTTCAAGGAAAGACTGGAAGAAGAACGGAAAAGATTGGCAGAGGAGGAGGCGCGGTTGCTTTCCGACTTCTGCCTACAGGGCCTACAGCAGATGTGTCATGGTGGGATGACGTCTCTGAGTTTTAGCAGGAGTGGAGAGATGTAGCGCATGAAAGAATGGCTGCAAAGTGCCTGGAAGAGATTGCAAGAGTATGTAAGATCAAGTGCAAGTGCCATATTGTGAAGTAGAAGTAGTAGAAGGACTACATCGATTTGCTTTGTTAGGCACTGAAGTGTTTAAAAGAAGTCGAGCTTGAGCCTGTGCGATGGTGAGTGCTGCATGTTGGAAGGCTGCACGAGAACAAGCAAGAAGAGCTGCAGAAGAGGTGCTGCTGCCTGGATCGAATCTCCAACTTTGGGGAATTTACGTGAATTTACGTGTTTGTGCTGATAGCCACATGGGCATATGCTAGCAACGAAAAACACAATTAAAATGACAACGGCATCCGGTGCAAGGTCTCATTTCCGTTCGAACTGCAAGACTGTGCAAATGCAAGAACATGTTTTTTGTAGTTTTTTTTACAGATTGCGGTGTCCTTTTCTTGCATCAGTTTCTGTGATTTTGCAGTGGAAAGCTGCAGTTTCGGCATGCATTCTGGAGGCACGACTGGAAGAAGAAAGGAGAAGACTGGCAGAGGAGGTTGGGCAAGGATCAGGGTGTGGGTTAGCAATTGGCAGCCAGTGACCACTGCAGATTGGCCCCAAGTAAAAGATTGTTCTTATTGTGGTGCCAAGGAATCAACCAAATTTGGTCGCTTTTAGTTTCAATTTTCAATAATTCATCGACGTTGATTCATTTTGGGGGTTGACGATTTTGACCCAGATGCACATCAGGCTGCATAAGAATACGTATGTAAAAAAAATGCAAGGGAAAATCAGGATCTGTTATTTGTAGTGCTTCCTCTGAGGCGGCACAAGAAGAAGCACGAAGGATTGCGGAAGAGGTGCTCCAAAGGGGGTTGGAACCAGAATCTAAAAGATTGTGGGCATCTCATGCGAGACCTGAAACCTTCAACCAAGCAAAGGCAGCCCATAAAGCCATTGTCTCATAGTACTATAATAGAAGCTCGTCCTAGCATGTTGTAGCATCAGAGGTCCAAGCCACATGAGCAGGAAAGACTGGAAGAAGAACGCAAAAGATTGGCAGAGGAGGAGGCGCGGTTGCTTTCCGACTACTGCCTACAGGGCCTACAGCAGATGTGTCATGGTGGGGTGACGTCCCTGAGTTTTAGCAGGAGTGGAGAGATGTAGCGCATGAAAGAATGGCTGCAAAGTGCCTGGAAGAGATTGCAAGAGTATGTAAGATCAAGTGCAAGTGCCATATTGTGAAGTAGAAGTATATTAGGAGAAGGACTACATCGATTTGCTTTGTTCGGCACTGAAGTGTTTAAAAGAAGTCGAGCTTGAGCCTGTGCGATGGTGAGTGCTGCATGTTGGAAGGCTGCACGAGAACAAGCAATAAGAGCTGCAGAAGAGGTGCTGCTGCAGGGATCGAATCTCCAACTTTGGGGAATTTATATGAATTTACGTGTTTGTGCTGATAGTCACATGGCATCCTGTGATATCCTGTGGGCATATGCTAGCAACGAAAAACACAATTAAAATAACTCCGGCATCCGGTGCAAGGTCTCATTTCTGTTCGAACTGCAAGACTGTGCAAATGCAAGTCACAATATTTCACCAGCGTTCCGCAGAACATGTTTTTTGTAGTTTTTTTTTTACAGATTGCGGTCTCCTTTTCTTGTATCAGTTTCATTCAGTTTCTGTGATTTTGCAGTGAAAGAGTTCCGGCATGCATTCTGGAGGCACGACTGGAAGAAGAAAGGAGAAGACTGGCAGAGGAGGAGGTTGGGCAGGTATCAGGGTGTGGGCTAGTAACTGACTGCCAGTGACCACTGCAGATTGGCCCCAAGTAAAGGATTGTTTGAATTGTGGTGCCAAGGGCTTAACCGAATTCGGTTGTTTTCTGGATTTTGATTGTTTTTGGGAAGTTGATGATTTTGACCCATATGCTAAGAGTATAAGAATGTTGGCAACATTTGGCAACGGAAAAATCGACATCTTATGCTATTTATAGTGTATGAAAGGGGGTCCGCCCCACAGTTTCTGAAAGCGACCCTGCTAAACTGCCATTGGGCCATCAACATGTTTTGGAAAGTCCGCACCTGATTTGGTATTGACTGGAAAGACCAGATGCCGTCGGATCAGCTTGAGATGCCCTGGATTCTGAATACTGCATTTTCTGAGGCCGCACAAGAAGAAGCACGAAGGATTGCGGAAGAGGTGCTCCAACAGGGGGTTGGAACCAGAATCTAAAAGATTGTGGGCATCTCATGCGAGACCTGAAACCTTCAATCAACAAAGGCAACCCATAAAGCCCATAAAGCCCATAAAGCCATAGTCTCATAGTACTATAGATATCTATAGATACTATTGTAGAAACTCATCCTAGCGTAATGTAGCATTAGAGGTCCAAGCAACATGGTCCCTGAGCCCCCTATATAATATAGTTTCTTTGGATGCCCTGCCATGTCGCTCTATCCGTCGCTTGCGTTATTTGCTGTGTTTTTGTACTTGAATCGCTTTCTTCAAGGAAAGACTGGAAGAAGAACGGAAAAGATTGGCAGAGGAGGAGGCGCGGTTGCTTTCCGACTTCTGCCTACAGGGCCTACAGCAGATGTGTCATGGTGGGATGACGTCTCTGAGTTTTAGCAGGAGTGGAGAGATGTGGCGCATGAAAGAATGGCTGCAAAGTGCCTGGAAGAGATTGCAAGAGTATGTAAGATCAAGTGCAAGTGCCATATTGTGAAGTAGAAGTAGCAGAAGGACTACATCGATTTGCTTTGTTCGGCACTGAAGTGTTTAAAAGAAGTCGAGCTTGAGCCTGTGCGATGGTGAGTGCTGCATGTTGGAAGGCTGCACGAGAACAAGCAAGAAGAGCTGCTGAAGAGGTGCTGCTGCAGGGATCGAATCTTCAACTTTGGGGAATTTACATGAATTTACGTGTTTGTGCTGATAGCCACATGGCATCCTGTGATATCCTGTGGGCATATGCTAGCAACGAAAAACACAATTAAAATGACTCCGGCATCCGGCGCAAGGTCTCATTTCTGTTCGAACTGCAAGACTGTGCAAATGCAAGTCGCAATATTTCACCAGCGTTCCGCAGAACATGTTTTTTGTAGTTTTTTTTTACAGATTGCGGTGTCCTTTTCTTGCATCAGTTTCTGTGATTTTGCAGTGGAAAGCTGCAGTTTCGGCATGCATTCTGGAGGCACGACTGGAAGAAGAAAGGAGAAGACTGGCAGAGGAGGTTGGGCAGGTATCAGGGTGTGGGCTAGTAACTGACTGCCAGTGACCACTGCAGATTGGCCCCAAGTAAAGGATTGTTTGAATTGTGGTGCCAAGGCGTTAACCGAATTCGGTTGTTTTCTGGATTTTGATTGTTTTTGGGAAGTTGATGATTTTGACCCATATGCTAAGAGTATAAGAATGTTGGCAACATTTGGCAACGGAAAAATCGACATCTTGTGCTATTTATAGTGTATGAAAGGGGGTCCGCCCCACAGTTTCTGAAAGCGACCCTGCTAAACTGCCATTGGGCCATCAACATGTTTTGGAAAGTCCGCACCTGATTTGGTCTTGACTGGAAAGACCAGATGCCGTCGGACCAGCTTGAGATGCCCTGGATTCTGAATACTGCATTTTCTGAGGCGGCACAAGAAGAAGCACGAAGGATTGCGGAAGAGGTGCTCCAACAGGGGGTTGGAACCAGAATCTAAAAGATTGTGGGCATCTCATGCGAGACCTGAAACCTTCAATCAACAAAGGCAACCCATAAAGCCCATAAAGCCCATAAAGCCATAGTCTCATAGTACTATAGATATCTATAGATACTATTGTAGAAACTCATCCTAGCGTAATGTAGCATTAGAGGTCCAAGCAACATGGTCCCTGAGCCCCCTATATAGTTTCTTTGGATGCCGTGCCATCCATGTCGCTCTATCCGTCGCTTGCGTTAGTTGCTGTGTTTTTGTACTTGAATCGCTTTCTTCAAGGAAAGACTGGAAGAAGAACGGAAAAGATTGGCAGAGGAGGAGGCGCGGTTGCTTTCCGACTTCTGCCTAGAGGGCCTACAGCAGATGTGTCATGGTGGGGTGACGTCCCTGAGTTTTAGCAGGAGTGGGGAGATGTAGCGCATGAAAGATTTAGATCAAGTGCAAGTGCCATATTGTGAAGTAGAAGTAGTAGAAGGACTACATCGATTTGCTTTGTTCGGCACTGCAGTGTTTAAAAGAAGTCGAGCTTGAGCCTGTGCGATGGTGAGTGCTGCATGTTGGAAGGCTGCACGAGAACAAGCAAGAAGAGCTGCAGAAGAGGTGCTGCTGCCTGGATCGAATCTCCAACTTTGGGGAATTTACATGAATTTACGTGTTTGTGCTGATAGCCACATGGCATCCTGTGATATCCTGTGGGCATATGCTAGCAATGAAAAACACAATTAAAATGACTCCGGCATCCGGTGCAAGGTCTCATTTCTGTTCGAACTGCAAGACTGTGCAAATGCAAGTCACAATATTTCACCAGCGTTCCGCAGAACATGTTTTTCCCCACCTGCCAGGTGAGGGTTGTTAGATTTTATGTCAGTTGCCTCCTCCTTCTCCTCCTCCTCCTCCGCCTCCTCCGCCTCCTCCTGCCTCGTCCTCCTCCTCCTCGTCCTCCTTGTCATCCTTGTCGTCCTTGTCGTCCTCGTCGTCCTCGTCGTCCTCGTCGTCCTTGCTCAACTGCGACCTGCGATCCACAGTGTTCTCTGCCGGACCTCAACCACGACCACCCACGCCCAGTGTTCCCTGCCGGACCTCAACCACGACCATCCACGCCCAGTGTTCCCTGCCGGACCTCAACCACGACCATCCGCGCCCAGTGGTCCCTGCCGGACCTCAACCACGGCCATCCACGCCCAGTGTTCCCTGCCGGACCTCAACCACGACCATCCACGCCCAGTGTTCCCTGCCGGACCTCAAACGCGAGTATCCACGCCAAGTGTTCCCTGCCGGACCTCATGTAGGAAGATATGGGACAAAGAATGTGCAGAAGAAAGTTAGAAAGAATGTCAGAAAGAATGTCAGAAGATATGCCAGAAGATATGCCAGATAGACTGCCAAAAAGAATGCCAGATAGAATGCCAGATAGAATGCAGCTTAGAATGCCATGAAGATAGTCAGCAATATATGCCAGAAGAAGGCAGATAGAATGCCAAGATAGAATGCCAGAAGATATGTCAGATCGAATGCCAGAAGATATGCCAGATAGAGCCAGATAGAATGCCCCAAACGAATGTCAGAAGATATGTCAGATAGAATGCCAGAAGATATGCCAGAAGATATGCCAGATTTAGAATGCAATAGAATGTCCAGAAGATATGGAAGATCGAAGCCAGAAGATCCGGCAGATAGAAAGAATGCACAGAAGATTTGCCAGGATAGGAATGCCCAGACGGACATTGCCAGAAGATTTGCCAGATAGAATGCCAGAAGATATGCCAGAAGAAATGTCAGATAGAATGCCAGAAGATATGCCAGATAGAATGCCAGAAGATTTGCCAGATAGAATGCCAGAAGATATGTCAGATAGAATGCCAGAAGATGTGCCAGTAAGAACATGTATAAATGTCATGGTGGGGATCACACGAAGTAAAGTAATTTGTAGTTTTTTTTACAGATTGCGGTGTCCTTTTCTTGCATCAGTTTCTGTGATTTTGCAGTGGAAAGCTGCAGTTTCGGCATGCATTCTGGAGGCACGACTGGAAGAAGAAAGGAGAAGACTGGCAGAGGAGGTTGGGCAGGGATCAGGGTGTGGGCTAGTAACTGACTGCCAGTGACCACTGCAGATTGGCCCCAAGTAAAGGATTGTTTGAATTGTGGTGCCAAGGAATCAACCAAATTTGGTCGCTTTTAGTTTCAATTTTCAATAGTCCATCGACGTTGATTCATTTTGGGGGTTGACGATTTTGACCCAGATGCACATCAGGCTGCATAAGAATACGTATGTAAAAAAAATGCAAGGGAATCAAGGGAAAATCAGGATCTGTTATTTGTAGTGCTTCCTCTGAGGCGGCACAAGAAGAAGCACGAAGGATTGCGGAAGAGGTGCTCCAACAGGGGGTTGGAACCAGAATCTAAAAGATTGTGGGCATCTCATGCGAGACCTGAAACCTTCAATCAACAAAGGCAACCCATAAAGCCATTGTCTCATAGTACTATAATAGAAGCTCGTCCTAGCATGTTGTAGCATCAGAGGTCCAAGCCACATGAGCAGGAAAGACTGGAAGAAGAACGCAAAAGATTGGCAGAGGAGGAGGCGCGGTTGCTTTCGCACTACTGCCTACAGGGCCTACAGCAGATGTGTCATGGTGGGGTGACGTCCCTGAGTTTTAGCAGGAGTGGAGAGATGTAGCGCATGAAAGAATGGCAGCAAAGTGCCTGGAAGAAACTGCAAGAGTATGTAAGATCAAGTGCAAGTGCCCATATTGTGAAGTAGAAGTAGTAGAAGGACTACATCGATTTGCTTTGTTCGGCACTGAAGTGCTTAAAAGAAGTCGAGCTTGAGCCTGTGCGATGGTGAGTGCTGCATGTTGGAAGGCTGGACGAGAACAAGCAATAAGAGCTGCAGAAGAGGTGCTGCTGCAGGGATCGAATCTCCAACTTTGGGGAATTTACGTGTTTGTGCTGATAGCCACATGGCATCCTGTGATATCCTGTGGGCATATGCTAGCAACGAAAAACACAATTAAAATGACTCCGGCATCCGGTGCAAGGTCTCATTTCTGTTCGAACTGCAAGACTGTGCAAATGCAAGTCACAATATTTCACCAGCGTTCCGCAGAACATGTTTTTTGTAGTTTTTTTTACAGATTGCGGTCTCCTTTTCTTGCATCAGTTTCTGTGATTTTGCAGTGGAAAGCTGCAGTTTCGGCATGCATTCTGGAGGCACGACTGGAAGAAGAAAGGAGAAGACTGGCAGAGGAGGTTGGGCAGGGATCAGGGTGTGGGCTAGTAGCTGGCAGCCAGTGACCACTGCAGATTGGCCCCAAGTAAAGGATTGTTTGAATTGTGGTGCCAAGGAATCAACCAAATTTGGTCGCTTTTAGTTTCAATTTTCAATAATCCATCGACGTTGATTCATTTTGGGGGTTGACGATTTTGACCCAGATGCACATCAGGCTGCATAAGAATACGTAGTTTAAAAAAATGCAAGGGAATCAAGGGAAAATCAGGATCTGTTATTTGTAGTGCTTCCTCTGAGGCGGCACAAGAAGAAGCACGAAGGATTGCGGAAGAGGTGCTCCAACAGGGGGTTGGAACCAGAATCTAAAAGATTGTGGGCATCTCATGCGAGACCTGAAACCTTCAATCAACAAAGGCAACCCATAAAGCCATTGTCTCATAGTATAATAGAAGCTCATCCTAGCATGTTGTAGCATCAGAGGTCCAAGCCACATGGACCCGAGCAGGAAAGACTGGAAGAAGAACGGAAAAGATTGGCAGAGGAGGAGGCGCGGTTGCTTTCGCACTACTGCCTACAGGGCCTACAGCAGATGTGTCATGGTGGGGTGACGTCCCTGAGTTTTAGCAGGAGTGGAGAGATGTAGCGCATGAAAGAATGGCAGCAAAGTGCCTGGAAGAAACTGCAAGAGTATGTAAGATCACGAAATGTAGCCTAGGCTACCTGAGTTCTATGTACTTTAGTACTAGTTTAGTACTGGGGGAGGTGGGTGCTCCTTTCCCGGAAATTGAGAGCCGAGAGTCACGAACGGAGACTTGGGGGGGGGGGCCCCTGTTTTTGTTTCGACCTAATACCTACATAGGTACATGCATGAGTATTGAGCACATTTATACGCGCCTTCAAGGCTCAAGAAAGAGGTATATAGAGTAACCCTGTAGACAAGCACTGACCGGCAACAGGCTGAGAGTAAAAGAGTGCTGTCATTGGGGAAGACGCCTTAGCTGATCTTGAAGTAGACGCTAGGGCCCCTCTTCAAGTCGTAGCGGAGCAGTGATCCCTCATTGAGGGTGAGCTCCAGGTAGAGCCCAAGAAATGGCAAGCCATGGCTATGATGATGATGACTTCGACATTGTCGATGAAAATGAATGGAACCAATATGACTCTTATGCAATGAGAAGAGCACCCCAGCATACACAGATTCATATGACGCAACAGATGACCACAAAGGTTGCTCCAGCCTATGATGGGCGAACCAGCTTCTTTGCTTTTGAGGATGCAATTGATGACTGGTGTGACATTACGGAGTTAGAACCAGAGAAACGTGGTCCAGCATTGCGCAACAGACTGGAAGGAGATGCTCAACAATACAAGAGGCTATTGGATAGAGAACTACTCAGGGATCCCCATGAAGGAGCGCACTATTTCAAAAGATTTCTACGACCTCATTTCATCAAAGGTGCCCAGAACGTGTTCTTATACCGTTTCATGCAGTTCATGAAGTTCAACAGAGGAACAATGGATCTTCAGAAGTGGATGACTAGATTTCAACTCACTGGTAATAGACTTATTGAGTCTTGGATGGATTTACTTCCAGAAGTAACAGTGACTAGTCCTGAAGCAATCCTGTTTGTTCAACAACGACGTCAAGAACATGAACGAGATCAACAAGAGAGAGCTGAAGTAGCAGCAGCCTCAGGAACACCCCATGTAGCTGTTCCTTGGACAGATGAACTGGCACTAGCGGCATTCAGACAATTTCAGGAAAATCGTAGAGAAGCACAGCGACAAGCATTCCCACTGGGTGAAAATTTGCTAGCATTGATTTTTGTAAGTCTAGCTGACCTGAGTCAAGATCAGAGAAACACACTCACAAGTATCATGACACATCGTGGACGAACCCTCGATCGATACAACATTCAAGAACTACGTGACCTGTTTTTGGAAATGTTTTGCGCTACCAAAACAGCAGTTGACAATCCATTGATGCAACCCTCTGGCATGGCACAGAGAAGATCTTTCCTCGTACTGGATGAAGGTGAATTAGAAGGAACCGACGGCTATTGGGCCGAAGATGAAGAAGACGGCGCAGAAGGATTCCTGGATGCCTTAGAAGATGTTTTCTGGGTTTATGATGACGCCAACTTCACATGGTATCAGAGAAGGTTCCAAGGCAAATACATCAGACGAGGCAAAGGTAAAGGAAAGAGAAAAGGAAAAGGCAGAGGAGGACGAAGGTTCTTCAAATCAAGAAAAGGAAAAGGCCGAGGAAAAGGAAGAAGAAAAGGCCGTGCTCACATGGTGAGTGAAGAAGGTTATGAAGATGAATGGCAAGAAGATGAATGGAATGAAAACTATGACGGCTATTGGGCCGATGATCAAACCTGGAATGAAGGCTATTGGGCCTATGATGATCTGTACTACATGGATGAGTATGGATACTTCCAGAAGAAAGGAAAAGGAAAAGGAAAAGGAAAGAAAGGCAAGGATGATGATGGAAAAGGAGGAAAGCCAGGAGATGGAAAAGGCAAGTCGAACTATGTTCAACCTCAGACCACATCAGCTCCTGCCATACAGAATCAACCAACTCAACAAGCTCATTATTCTTCTGCAGCTTCAAGTTCTGGTCATGGTTTCTTTTCATTTGGAACAACTGAACCAGCACGTGTTGATGTTGCAGAGACAGAGCCAGCACGTGTTGATGTTTTGACATCCACGTATGCAGCACAAGATGAACAACGACGTACTCGTCGTGGAGGACAGAACCAACGTGATGCAAGAGCACATCAAAACAGGAGAGAAATGAAGAGATTCCCTGTTCTGGTTGGAGAAGTTGGTGCACTACGACAAGGTGTACAACAACGTCCAGCTGTAGTGCCCAGGCAAGTTGGTCTTCAAGAAGGTGAGGCTTCATGGAAGCCATTGGCAGAAGGCACATCATTGTTTTCACATGGATGCTCTACAGAGATAGAGGAACCATCACAGCAGAGTGCTTTTTCATTTCATACTGTACAAACTGATCTGGCATGTGAGAATGGACTAGCTTTTCACACAGAGAATTCTGCACCACCAACTGTGTGTATTCTGGATCTTGGATGCACAAGAGCTATGGGCTCTCGACGAGCATTTGAAGCATTTTGCAGATATGTTGACTCACATCCCAACAGTGGACTCTGGTATGAAATTCAGCCAACAAGTTCAAGATTCTTCTTTGCAAACTCACAACAATCAAAATGTACTGAGAAGCTCGTGATATTCATGTATGATCATGGATGGAACACTCAGTTTACAGAATTCGACATTGTCGAAGAAGGTGATGTCCCATTGTTGATGTCACTTCCACAGATGAGAAACCTTGGATTTCAATTTGAACTTACTCCAGAGAAGGCTTATTTGTCCTGTGCACGTATTGGCATGAGAAAAATGGTTTTGAGGACAGCCATAAGTACTCATCTCATTCTCGACCTACAAGATGTAGCATGGTACATGAGCCAAGTTCATTTCAAGACTCCACAAGTCAAAAGTTTCTATTCACAACACGATCACTTTGAGTACAGCCAGATTGCTGTCAAACAAGATGATCATGAAGGAGAAGCTTTGGTGACTGGTGACTACTGGCAGGTTGATCCACTACGTCGTGAACTCATCAGGCACCACAAGGACAAGAGAATGAACTTACATGAGATGACTCGATCAGAGAAAACTCCAATTCCAAAAGATCAACTTCTTGATGAGAGAGAAACCCACATGGAATTCCAGAAGAGCAAGAAGAAGGTTCTTCACAAGGACAACTGGCGCACTGAGAAGAAGAGGTTTTCTGAACAGAGTGAAGAGTTCTGGAAGGGCAAGACCATCTACAAGATCAAGGAGGACTACGTGATCCCAGATGACATTGTCAGAAGTGACATTGATCGTGCAAAGCCCTTTCGTGGAAACATTGATGATCTTTTTCACCCTGAGTCAGCCTCTTCAGTGCCATCAGGTGTACAGAAGAAGAAGCCAAGCTCCTTAAAGAAGGAGGAAGGCAAACCGATTTCAAATGGACCAGGCTCGAAAAAGATTGAGGTAGGTCCACCTGCAGCCAAAAGACACGTAGGTAAGCAGAAACCTCAAGTTGTCGATGACTCTCAATCAGGTTCATCAAGAAAGAAGGTTGTTGTCTCCTATCCCAAGCTTGATGAAGAAGATGAGCTTGACAAGGTAGCTAGGGAGTTAGGTTTGGACAAAATTGATTCAGATGAACCTCAAGTCATTGAACCAAAACATTCTGCACCTGCGCGCAACCGTGGTAAGCAAGATTCAGAAAGTCAAGTTGAGAAACTAGGTAGTGATGCTCTTGAGCCTAGGCGAGTTTCGATTCCACTGCCTGGTAGTGAAGTGCAAGCCATGACACCAGCATACAGAAAGATGCTCAGGAAACTGGAGGATAGTGTGGAACTTTACAAGCTTCATATCAAACACTATCACATGTCTCCTACTCAATTCAGACGAAGGACTTCCATGTTAGGACTTCCTGACTCTGTCTATCAGAAGTATGAGGAGATGTACAACAAGTGTCATGTGTGTAGTACTTCCATTGCACCACCGCCGCGAGCCAGAATTTCAGGCATACGATCCACCAACTTTGGAGATGTTATCTTTGTTGATCATGCTGAAATTCAGTTGAGGAAGAACAAGTACATGGTGTTGCTTGTTCTTGATGGTGCAACCAACTTACTTTGGGCTACGGCACAAAACTCACTGAACAACAAGGAGACCATTCAGGCTCTAAGGTTGTGGAGTGATGAACACAATTGTATGCCTAAAGCCATTGTAGGTGATGAAGCTTTCTTTCAAGAAGACTTTCTGACTTATTACCGAACTCATGGTATCAAGGAATGTCCCTGTGGTTCAAGAACCCCATGGCCTAACAGAGCTGAATCAGCTGTCAGACTTTTCAAACGACAATGGCAAATCATGTCCAAGAACCTTGAAGATGATAGGTTCAAAGGAATCACCATCAGAGAAGCTGTGAAGCGTACTGTTTGGGCCAGAAACACTCAACTCACTGTTAGTGGTTATTCTCCTTTGGAAATTGCCACTGGTAGAAGACCACCAGATCTTCTGGATATTGAGACTTCTGATCCTGCTCAACTTAGTGTTGACCCTTTACCTGAAGACAGAACACAACTCGAGTTGCAAAGGTTAGCACTGAGGGCACATCAGGAAGCCAGACAAGCTGCTGACCTCAGACATGACATGGCCAAACGAACAATGCCATCAGATGGACCTTACAAACCAGGTGACAAGGTTTTCGTTTGGAGTTCCCCTGTCAATGCTAATGCTATTGCTTCAAAGGCATGGAAGAAGGAAAGATGGATCAGAGGTACTGTTATCTCTCAAGAAGGTGCTATGGTCAATGTTCATGTTGACAACGCAGTCATGCGTGTTAATCAATCGAAGGTGAGACGTGACCATGATGAATGGCATGATGTTGCTGTTCCTGGACTTGACACATCGGAACCTGTTCCACTTGCAGTTGAAGATGAAGATGCCTCCCATGTTTACCTTTCTGGGTGGTGCAGCAATTTTGAGGGTTCAAGATTTGTATGGCCAGAAACCCACTTGCGTTGTCGGCGGCAGGGGGGTCTTTAGCGACACTTGCTTTTC